TTGATAAAAATACTATAACTTCTAAGTTTCAATTCATTAAAAAAAAGGGTCTATTAGATATAACCCCCTTAAACATTCAAATAATAGGGGTAGACCCAAATTTAAATTTGCCATTTTGATAAAAGCCCAAGCTTTTCGTAATTACATAATTACCCTCAATCAAATCCCACAAATCCCGTTACTTTACCTTTTTTTAAATTAATAGACTATCTCATATCTTTTAATAGACTATCCCATGTATCTAATTCGACTATGGGTTTAATTAATTGACTATTGGAAAAATAATAATATATATGGAAACTGAATAATATGTTTGTTTGAAATACTAATCAATTAGGGTAATTTTCCTTATTATATGAAAACGATTAGGGTAAATAATAATATATATGAAAAAATAATAATATATATGGAAACTGAATAATATGTTTGTTATACTAATCAATTAGGGTAATTTTCCTTATATCATGTAATAGACTATCTTATTGATCTAATCCGACTATGGATCTCGTTAATAGACTATGGATCCTGTATTATTCAACCACATAGTATATTAATAATTTCAATATAGTACATTAATCTGCTATGATAGTATATTACGGTTATAGTATTGATATGAAATTGTGTTACAAACAATATACCACTGAAATGACAAGAACATTGAGAACAACACCAACGTAAAGTATTCCACATAACCAATAAAATAGTACATTAATAATCTCATAATTTCAATCTAGGGTTTTGATAAAATACATAAAACACATCATAACACAATCAAACCAATATGTCGAGTTAAAAAACTCTAGTACATTAATAATCTCATAATAGTATAATAAAATGATAATGGTAGTATCATACGGTATTCATAATATTATACTACTGTATTACAACGGTTTAACACTTAACCGAAGTTACCGAGCCATTACATCGTAAACACCTCTTAAAAAATAGCAACCAACCCACCAAACCTCAACAAAATCCGTACGAAATTCGCCATCGAAAAAACCTAAAATCATGAAACAAAATAAAAAATGCAGAATACTAAAAAATAATTAAATAGACTGCAAATACATTTGAATGATAATACATTAATATCATCAAAAATAAACTTAAAATGCAAAATTCATACGCTAAATTAAAAAAGACTACGAACTATATTTTAATGTACTACCCAACACACTTAAATCGGCTGTTATAAACAAATAAACCAACTATCGATCGGGATAAAAACATGAACTCGACCAAAGCGGACAATTATTCCGATTATTGCATAAACCAACTACGAAGCTCATATAAAACAACTCTGGTCCGATATGCGTGAACCATCCTCTTCTAACTCTGTCAATCCTCTTCCAAACAAACATCATCGGCAAAAAAAAAACGATATATATATGACGGAATAATTTTGTTAAAAAACGTTCTACTTAATAGAATCAAGTATCAACACAACTCTTAAAAATTTCTAACCACCGTACACGACAATCATGGACATTGAGCAAAAAATAAAAACGAATAACGCATTCATACCCGCTTAACAACGTCCAACAACAAACACTCAAAAATCGATCCTATTTCCACGACGGTGCAGAAATCTTCAATGACGATAAAACCCGCTGGAACGATGAAGAGAATCTTCAAAAAATATTGTACACGATTTGATATAACGACCAATGATCTCACGTAAATTTATTCCGTGATTTTAGGCAACGTATCAGCAAATCTCAAATCACGTATTAAAGGAAATAAATGCCGTTTAATAATAAAACAGGGGTATGAAAGGGAAATTATATAATATATTTTGCCAAGTTGGCAAAATTGGGTGTATCTCAAAAAAGAGAAAAAAAATTGGATCTACCTCATTAGAAAATATGAACAAGGGGGTTTTCCCTAATAAACCCTAAAAAAAATTGACACTTTACAAATAAGCCCATCAATGGGTACTTATTCATAAATTGGATCAGAGAAAAAACTGTTTTATAAAAAAGTCCACACATGGTGCAGACTGCAGAGATTTGTAAAAGACTAAAATAGCCCATCACATTTTAATATGCTCAAATTTCATCATTTAATTTAATCTAACCTCAATTTGACCCAAAACACAATCTTATGGACAATTTCGTTCGTCGCCGCAGTTGACCGCTGGTCTCCAGTGTTGATTTTTTTTTTTATGTTTTTTTCTTCCTGGTTTTTCCGCCCGTTTCCGGCGTTGACCGGCGGTCAACTCCGGTCTCCAACATTGACTTTTTCAATCTTTTTTTTTGGAATTATTTTTTTTGTGATTTTTTTTTCTTTAACATCTTCACGCCCCACCGTTTAAACAACAATATTATTGTGGTTTACGGTAATATTAACTATATTACTGTTAAACACAGTAAAATTAACTATACTATAGTTTAACACAATAATATTGCTATATTAATCTCTACCACAGTAATATTAACACAACAAACTCCCTGGTGAAATTTAGTCAAAAGTAGCAACCCCCTGATTGACTTTTGTGTGTCTCACCCACAGGATACGCGACTGATAGTTGGTCTTTAGATGTAAAATGACGAAATTGACCCTCAAAAATATATATATATATATATATATATATATATATATATATATATATATATATATATATATATATATATATATATATGTGTGTGTGTGTGTGTGTGTGTATTTTTTTTAATTTGATTGTTTAGAAATTAAAATATTATTAAAAAAATAATTAAAATGAAAAAGAATTAAAATTTGGTAATCAAATTAAGTATAGGTTTTGTTAAATACAAAATAAAAAAATACATAATAATGGAATTTAAGTTTTCTTTTGATGTAGGGATAATTTAAAATATAACATAAATTATGTGATAATAAAAATTGAAGGGTTAAAGGCAAGTAGGCCCAAGACAAGCCACTTAATTAAACAAATGAACATTCAATTCTTTTTTCTTTCAAATATTTCCAGGTCATTCAAACTTATTTGCAAATAAGAAAAACCTTTTTATACATACCAAAATTATTCTCAATTATTTGAAATCCAATTCAACTCTAATTTCATGATTTACACAACAATTTAGCCCAATTTCACCAATTAACCAACTTTGACCATAATTTCAAATTTGACCCGCCACTTATATATCTTAGTACACTATAGTACACCATAATGGACGATAGTCTATACTAGAGTTTGATCTATATGAGGCAGATGACGTGCGGCATGAAGTGAGATTAAAGTTTTATGCCTACAAATGACGATAGTGACAACGGACGACTATAGATGACTACATTTATCAACAAAAGATAAACGAGAAAACACATATAAATATGTAAATTAAATTAAGAAAAAATAAAAAATAAATAAAACATGTGTTTTCGTAATTTTCAATGTAATGTAGAAAAAAGTAAGATCTATAATAATGTAAAAAAAAATCTAAAATGAAAAAAAAAAAAAAAGACAAAGCAAAAGACAACCGATTTTCGTGATTTTAACAAAAATGTTAGATGCAAAAACGAAGATAGACAATGTCGAATAAAAAAATGATTAATACAGTTTGAATATTATTTAGTGCAGATTATGAATTTATGTGTGGAGAGACAATTTTGAAAGGAATTTTATGAAGGATGTGTAGTAAAAGTTTGGTTGAGGTTGTCATTTAGTTCTAATAAGTTTTATTACTAATGATGAATATCTTATGCCCCTATATTTTATTGCAGTTTGTGATTTCCGAATGACCTATTAAAGTCACTTTTTATGTTTAATCACGGTGCGCATTAATATTTGTACCACTAGGATCACTAATTCACTGTTATACATCTTTTGCGATGATCACTATTACACTTGTTAGTAGTTAAAAATTTCTTTGGGGATATTTTCAAAATGGTTTGTGGTTGGGGCTATGATTGGTCACTATTGACCTAATAAATTCGAAATATCCCTCAACCACGACAAATCTATTGTGAGTTTTTATTCATATATATTATGTATGTTTTCTATAATTCAGGTAATTTTGTTCAAATAATATCGATTTTTTTATATGAGTTTTAATGTATGCTACAATGATATGGATGGTTTAAATGTTCTTATATTTCTCAATTGTTAGAGTATATTCATGAAATGTTAATCGATTTGTTAATTATTTGTAATACGATAAAAAATTAGTTGAATTACTTTATGTTGTGATTCAACATCATTTATTGGCAAGCAAATAGAGGGATAAGATGAGAAAAGACATGACAACTGCGAGGTCGGAAGGGGAAAGAAGAAGAGATTGACATTCATAATCGATTGGTCAAAGCCGGTGGAAGATTCTATTTCATCCAAATATTCTTTTGTAAGGATTCTATACGTGATATGTGTGTTTAAGTACTTTGCTTGTGTAATCGTAACCATATGCAAGTCAAACAAATTTGATTCAATTAGCTATAATTGTTTCATAAACATAAATAAAAATTGTTGGAATAAAAAAATAAACAAAATAGATAATATGGTTTATCATGTTTGAGCATATTGATCATATATGAACTATTTCAGCGATGTCAATTGCGTTAGTGGTGGCAAAATGACTGCAAAAAGTGAAATAGCGAGGTACCTCAAGTGAGCATATTGTCATTACAGACTACATTTGAGATAAAAGCGATGTACCTCAAGTGAAATAGCTTACATATATCAACTGGGTATGAACTGAATGTTTAACCCATGGAATCTAAAGGTTGTCTGCTGGAAAATAAAATGAATAAGAATGGGCAGACAATGAAATAATCAATGTTCGAAAACCCGCTAACTATATATAAGACAAAATACTTATACAACGTGATTCCTCGATGACTTTTAATGAGTTAAAAAACTCATCTGTTAGAACACATACATTCACAGTTTTATTTCCCTCCATCTCTGTTTGCTCTCTGAATGTACTACTTGTTCGTAACGCGAATGATGTTGCTTTATCGTCTAGTTGTTTCAAAGCAGTTTTTTTGGTTCATGGATTTTTTTTAAAGGTGCTACATATCTCCTCCCATTAAATAACCCACCAGATTAGGAGTTCTATTTCTCCACATTCAACATTTTTCAGTTTCAGACACATCTTCTGCATTACTATCCCGTCTTTCCAAAAAGGAAAACTTTCTTTAGCAAGGCAATTGGAGCATGAAGGCATTATTCTTCTGATTATTGTACCATTTGGAAAGCCATTTGGATTCATCTTTGTGGCTTCTACCAATGGTCCAATATCAAACTCTGCTTCTCCAATCTTTTCATCTATGTTGCTCAACTTATTCTGGTCATACACCGTCTACAACCATTATACATGAACTATTGATCAACATATACATTACTAATTGGGAACCGCATATTTCAAATCTATGATAAAAATGCACTTGAATTTACATTTTTAACTCAATAAAAAATGATGATAAACAAATATTGCAAAATTCTTTTTATTATAAATTAAAGAATCTCACCAAAGTAACTTGATGACTTTGACTTGAATTCACAATTCTGAGTTTATCATCCCATTCAGGATTAACACCGTTCGCCACAACACGAGTCTCCACCCTCTACATCATAAAAAATAAAACTAAATTATAAATTTATTCAAGGAAGCTCGAAAGGCAAAATATTCAATGCAAATATAAGCAACACAGACAAATGAAAATAAATTAATGTCATTTTTCCTTAGCTTGAGTTTAGGTCCAGTTACACATCAACATAAACTTTTCCTGAGATTTAATTGAGATTAAAAATTCATCCCAAATTTAGTAAATTATATTATCACCTTCCTTATTGAGATTATATCTAATCACACCAATATGAAATCATAAGCAATGAAAGCCACCAAGAGAAAGACAACACCAATAATTTTAAATACAACAAGACACAATGTTCTTTGAATATAAATAATTCTAATTGCTTTTTGTTTAGAAGAATATTTTGGTGTAGGTAAAAAGAACATTAAAAAATAACAAAACACAATCACAAAGTAAGAACACAAAACCTTTTCCCCCGTCGTGATAACAACAAAATGATCTCCGATGCGGCCGTCGCCACCAACAGCAAGATTAATACCTCTTTGTACCCAAATTCTGAGCACTCCATATGTACTATTTAGAACTTGAATAGCATCATATCCTATAATCTCTCGTTGCTCTGATATTTCATTTGCAGATGCTAAAATAAGATCATTGTTTATATTGCAATTTAAGCGAATTGTCTTAAGTGGTAATATTACAGCAAATTCTGACGGGATGTCCTTGAGGTTTAAGTATCCAAGACTTAGAATCTCAAGACATGGGAAATGGGGCATCTTCCATATCTCACTTGGTAGGCTCAACTCTCGATAAACAACTAATGTATGTAGACTCCAAAGACGGGATATAGAAGACGGCATCAACATCAATGGACCCATGCAAGCAACATATCTTGAGTTAATTAGTTGTAGAATCTCATCTTTGGGATATTCATCTACCACATCCAATACCCGTAGTAATGGAAACCGACGAGCAGTGTAATCGGTTGAATCCCCTTTAGAGAATCTTAAGAAAGACCGTGTAGGTACATGTGGTCTATAGGGAGTACTCTTCATCCCTTTCCATTTGCCACCATTAATGCTTAAGCGTGCGGGGCTGATCTTCGTGTCTGATAAAATATCGAGGTGGTTATACAAATTTTCGGTGAGAATAAAATTGTCTTTCTGAGCTTCTCTCCTACATAGGTCACCTAAAAGATCATGAATGTGGCAGTCTGTCACTTGTCCAGTAATTGATCGCCAACTGACCAAAATGAGATTTCTATCAATAAGATCCTCCAAGTACTCTTCTCCAATTTTTTCTAAGCTTTTATGCCCACGTTTTCTAATAAATCCTTCAGCAATCCACAACCTGACCAGCCTAGACAATTTGATATCAAAATCTTCAGGAAACACGGCAAAGTAAAGGAAACAAGGCTTGAGATATATAGGCAAGTGATTATAACTCAACAATAATATTTTCATGCAAAAGTCGTCATGTTCATTGTTTACTGCCGAAGTCACATCTTCTTCGACGTACTTCCACTTTTCTGTTTTTGACTTTGCAAGAACCCCAGCAATCACAACAAGGGCTAATGGAAGTCCTCTGCATTTTGTAGCAATACTTTTTCCAGTTCCCTCCAATTCAACGGGGGAACGCCCGTCTGCAAATATATTTTGACGGAGCAGATCCCAACTTTGTTTTTCATCTAATAAATTTAGTTGATAAGGGATACAAGACCCAATATCCACCGCAAATCTCAATAGCCTAGTAGTTACCAAGATTCGACTTCCATTATTGTTATCTGGAAGGAATCTTTTAAACATATCCCAAGCCTTGATATCCCACACATCATCCATTACTATTAAATACTTCCTCCCAAGTAGAGTTTTGTACAGTTTATCTCCTAGTTTACCATCGCTAATCTCATGGGCATCATCTTGATTAGTATTATCAATCTGATGCAAAAGACCTAGAAGAATCTCCTTTTCGGTATATTCTTGGGAGACCATAAACCAAGCACGAACATGAAAGTGTTGCACGATAAAAGGTTTGTTATAAACATGATGATTTGAAGATTAGATTCATTTGAAAAGAGAGCACCCATTTGAGCTCTTGCATGAGATGGTATCACCTGTTTGATAACAATTATCCATTTACCTGGAACTGATGAGATTTGACCCCAATCCTTCAACATGTAAAACATTTGAAAGTTTTGGAAGTCCCTCAATACTGAGTGTTCCACGTCCAACCACTTTGCCTTTAGCTCCTTCTCCATAGGTTACACGTCCTCCATTGAGTGTATGGTAGTTTGATAGAAATTATTTTGTTCCAGTTATGTGCCTAGAGCATCCACTATCAAAGTACCATGAACCTGAAATGTTAGCATTTAAAGAAGTGTATACTGCTTTGCACATAAGTTTACCTTTGGGAGTCCATATTCTCCACTCCTTTTTGGTAAATTCTACCTTTTTCTTTGAGGTGTTGCCTGGAGTGATGTGACTCATTCTGTACAACATTTTATCACTACTGTGTTTTTCACAAAATGGACGAATATGTCCTGGTGAGAAACAGTAATGACAAATGTATTCCCTTATTCTGGACTCTGGAGTGGTGACTGTGGAATTCCTGCATTGTTTTCCATTTGAACCCTTCTCTTTTACAAAGAAAATTTCTTTCTTCTTTACTGGCTTGTGTTTCTTCACTTGTTTGTTGAACCCTAGACCTTCATTCTTGTTGTACTTCTCCAGTGACACAATCTCTTCGAGTTTAGTTGTGCCGGTATTCATCCTCTTGATTGCTAGAGTTGCTTCTTTGAGTTCATCTTTCACCTTTGCCAGTTCAAGATCCTTCTTGGTGATACCAACCTCCAAATGTGTGATTGTTTCTTTAAGGGAAGAATTTTCCTTGTTGGCTGCATCTAGAGCTTGAGTCTTCTTCTCCAAGTCACTGAACAATCTCTTACACATTTCTTCCTCATCACTAACTGCTTCTTTACTGGATTCTGCTGCATTCAAAGAAATAGAGTTTAAACATGTATAATGATCATTATTTAACTCAGAAATTTCAGTCACTGAAAGTGTTTCAGAAAGTGTTGCAGCATCTGGAGAAACCCCTTGTGATTCTGTTTCAGAAGCACTTTCAGTGATATATCTGACAGAAAGAGCTTGTTTAGTGGATTGCTGATCCTCTGTCTGTTCAGGTTGCTCTTCCTCCTCATCACTGACAGCACAAATCAAACTCATTCCTCTTCTTCTCAAGGTATTTGCACATTCATTAGCATAATGTCCAAATCCTGAACAGGCCCTGCATTTAATATGATCCAAGTTAGGTGGTTCAGGATTTGAACGAATAAATGAAGAATTTTTTAAAGTGGTTTGAGAAGATGTTTGAGGAAATGTTCTCTGTGGAATAGATCTGTTCCGGGGCTGAGTTTGTCGATTTTGTGGAGAGCCATCTGGAAATAATTGTCTGGGCTTGATTCCACTTCGCCTGTATGCCCTATTAAATTTCTGAATTTGGAATGCAACATTGTTGAGACATTCCTCTGCATCATCATCATATTCCGGAGCAACATCTTCCTTCTCTAATTCTGCCTGGAGTGCATTTGAGATAGCCTTACCCTTCTCCTTTCTTTGATCTTCAAAGTTCATTTCTCTAGACTTTAGGCTACCAATTAAGTCGTCCAGCCGTAGAGATGATGTGTCTTTGGCCTCCTCAATAGCAGTAACTGTCATGCTGAATCTTTCTGGAAGAGTTCTCAATACCTTATTCACCAGTGTCTCGTTGCTCAAAGGACCACCTAAGGATTGAAATTCATTAGCTAAATCAATCAATTTCTCATTGTACTGAGAAATTGTTTCAGTTTCTTCCATTCTCAGTCTCTCAAATTTGGAGGAGAGTAATCTGAGCTTAGTTCTTCTGACACTGTCTGATCCTTCACAATGTAGCTGAAGAACTTCCCAAGCATCCTTCGCAGAAGTGCACACTGAGATCAATTTAAACATTGTTAAATCTACTGAATTAAAAATCGCATTTAACGCCTTTGAGTTTTGGTTAGCATTTGATAGATCGTCTGGTGTCCACCGTAATTCTGGTGTTGGAAACACATCCCCATCCGCATCTGTGATAGTTGGTGGCTTCCATCCAGTGAGAATAGATCTCCAGGCTCTCTCATCAATGGCTTTGATGTACGCCCTCATCTTGACTTTCCAGTAGGTGTAGTTTGTGCCATCGAGTACAGGAGGTCGCATAGAAGCAGTCATATGAGTATCCATCACGAATTCGTTTCTGAAAAAGAAAATAGGAACAAACACTTAGTATACGTCAAGTGTTGGCTCTTGATGCCAATTGAAAGAATTTATGGTCCCGAATTCGTTTAATACAGATGTGTTATCTTAAGTGTTATGACACTTGAACAAACATGCGGCGGAAATATAAAGATAAAAGAACAATACTCAGAATTAAAAATGTTCACAAGTAAAGACTTGTGAACTTGCCCTTTACATGACGGAAAAATATATTAAAATCGGTATTCCAGAATACAAACAGAAGAGGTGCGAAAACTTCTTCCTTATGAATGAATCATTCTCATGATCATTATTACATTCAAATCTAGATACAAAAAGAAAAATATTAAAAATTCTAGATTTCAAAGATGTACTCGTGAGGAGTACGTAAAGAACTTATGGATGAATCACTATCTTGATCATTCTTACAACCAAGTCTAGAAACATATATACTAAACAATCTAGACTACAAAGAATGTACTTATGAGAAGTACGTAAAGAATGTACTCATAATGAGTACGTAAAGATTGTACTCATGAGGAGTACAACCAACCGATCCTAAAAACACACTAAAACACTCATATATTCTTTTCAGCTCTCGGTGTTTTTTTTCTCGGAATCGATCAATTTCATTGAGTATTGAAATCGGTATTTATAGACATTTCAAGCTTCCACTCCTCAGCCCATGATCTGCAAGAAAACCAACCACAAGAGCACTCAAGAAAATGGGTTAGTGGGTTAGTTAGGAAGTTAGAATAAAATCAACAATTAAATCCACTAAGCACTACTTAGCCCACTAAGCACTATACTTAACCCACTAAGCACTACTTATTCAATAACTAAAATTTAGTTTAGAAAATAAGAAGGTTAAAAACAAAATGTGGAAATAATCCACGTGTTTCATATATTATGTATGTTTAGGTAATTTTGTTCAAAGAATATCGATTTTTTGATATGAGTTTTAATGTATGCTACAATGATATGGATGGTTTAAATGTTCTTATATTTCTCAATTGTTGGAGTATATTCATGAAATGTTAATCGATTTGTTAATTATTTGTAATACGATAAAAAATTAGTTAAATTATTTTATGTTGTGATTCAACATCATTTATTGGCAAGCAAATAGAGGGATAAGATGAGAAAAGACATGACAACTGCGAGGTCGGAAGGGGAAAGAAGAAGAGATTGACATTCATAATCGATTGGTCAAAGCCGGTGGAAGATTCTATTTCATCCAAATATTCTTTTGTAAGGATTCTATACGTGATATGTGTGTTTAAGTACTTTGCTTGTGTAATCGTAACCATATGCAAGTCAAACAAATTTGATTCAATTAGCTATAATTGTTTCATAAACAGAAATAAAAATTGTTGGAATAAAAAAAAAACAAAATAGATAATATGGTTTATCATGTTTGAGCATATTGATCATATATGAACTATTTCAGCGATGTCAATTGCGTTAGTGGTGGCAAAATGACTGCAAAAAGTGAAATAGCGAGGTACCTCAAGTGAGCATATTGTCATTACAGTCTACATTCGAGATAAAAGCGATGTACCTCAAGTGAAATAGCTGACATATATCAACTGGGTATGAACTGAATGTTTAACCCATGGAATCTAAAGGTTGTCTGCTGGAAAATAAGATGAATAAGAATCAATGTTCGAAATCCCGCCAACTATATAAGACAAAATACTTATACAACGTGATTTCTCGATGACTTTTAATGAGTTAAAAAACTCATCTGTTAGAACACATTCACAGTTTTATTTCCCTCCATCTCTGTTTGCTCTCTGAATGTACTACTTGTTTGTAGCGCGAATGATGTTGCTTTATCGTCTAGTTGTTTCAAAGCAGTTTTTTTGGTTCATGGATTTTTTTTAAAGGTGCTACATATCTCCTCCCATTAAATAACCCACCAGATTAGGAGTTCTATTTCTCCACATTCAACATTTTTCAGTTTCAGACACATCTTCTGCATTACTATCCCGTCTTTCCAAAAAGGAAAACTTTCTTTAGCAAGGCAATTGGAGCATGAAGGCATTATTCTTGTGATTATTGTACCATTTGGAAAGCCATTTGGATTCATCTTTGTGGCTTCTACCAATGGTCCAATATCAAACTCTGCTTCTCCAATCTTTTCATCTATGTTGCTCAACTTGTTCTGGTCATACACCATCTACAACCATTATACATAAACTATTGATCAACATATACATTACTAATTGGGAACTACATATTTCAAATCTATGATAAAAATGCACTTGAATTTTACATTTTTAACTCAATAAAAAATGATGATAAACAAATATTGCAAAATTCTTTTTATTATAAATTAAAGAATCTCACCAAAGTAACTTGATGACTTTGACTTGAATTCACAATTCTGAGTTTATCATCCCATTCAGGATTAACATCGTTCGCCACAACACGAGTCTCCACCCTCTACATCATAAAAAATAAAACTAAATTATAAATTTATTCTAGGAAGCTCGAAAGGCAAAATATTCAATGCAAATATAAGCAACACAGACAAATGAAAATAAATTAATGTCATTTTTCCTTAGCTTGAGTTTAGGTCCAGTTACACATCAACATAAACTTTTCCTGAGATTTAATTGAGATTAAAAATTCATCCCAAATTTAGTAAATTATATTATGACCTCCCTTATTGAGATTATATCTAATCACACCAATATGAAATCATAAGCAATGAAAGCTACCAAAAGCAAGACAACACCAATAATTTTAAATACATCAGGACACAATGTTCTTTGAATATAAATAATTCTTAATGCTTTTTGTTTAGAAGAATATTTTGGTGTAGGTAAAAAGAACATTAAAAAATAACAAAACACAATCACAAAGTAAGAACACAAAACCTTTTCCCCCGTAGTGATAACAACAAAATGATCTCCGATGCGGCCGTCGCCACCAACAGCAAGATTAATACCTCTTTGTACCCAAATTCTGAGCACTCCATATGTACTATTTAGAACTTGAATAGCATCATATCCAATAATCTCTCGTTGCTCTAATATTTCATTTGAAGATGCTAAAATAAGATCATTGTTTATATTGCAATTTAAGCGAATTGTCTTAAGTGGTAATATTACAGCAAATTCTGACGGGATGTCCTTGAGGTTTAAGTATCCAAGACTTAGAATCTCAAGACATGGGAAATGGGTATTGTCTGCTTCCCATATCTCCAACTCACACTGATTAATCAACAGGTACTTCAGTCGAGCAAATTCGCCTTCATTTGGAATCCACTTTTGGCCTATAGCAGCATTTCTGAATAACATGAGAACTTCAAGGTTTGGCAGCGAACCAATAACTGACATATCTTCCCAAGGAATCTTGCATCCATGTAGCCTCAGCTCTTTCAGTGAATATGGGAAGACAATTTCTCTACCACAAGGAGAACATGATAGAGTAAGTACTTCGAGTTTCTGTAGAAGGCCAAGATTTCTTACACAATTAGATCCAATTGTCCCACAAACAACTTCCAACTTCTTCAGATTTGGGATTCTTTTAATTACCTCTTCAGTGCATTTGAAATCTTCTACTGTTGAAAGTGTTTGTAGATTCTCAAGAATTATAATTTTGTGGACATCATGATGCAGGCCGGAACCCACAACGAAAAAGAATTAGAAAATGATGGGTGACCGGGAATCACTCAACCGGCGGCAGCGGACTCACTCGACGCTACTAATCACGGAATCACTCAACGCGACCAAGTCACTCACTTGTTTAAAGAGGAATCACTCACTCTCAATGCAATTAACTTGCAACATATTTTTAAACTTAAACAATCATCTCCCATTTTATTCATTTAAAGGGTGCTTATATAGGAGTTTTGGAACATCCCTCCAAAATATAGGAAATTACAACTTTGAATGACTTATCATCTTCTAATTCTAGAAAATAAATAAACTTCACCTTAACTCATAAAATACATAGAATATGACCTGATTATATGATAACAAGATGAATAATTCGAAATTAGACTAATAAAATAAATAAAACACTTAGAAATACAAAAAGACACAAAGCTGTCAATTTTCCCGAGTGCAGCTGGCAAGCTCTAGAAAACTGAGCATAACTTATTCTTCCGAACTTCGTTTTGTAAACCGATTTTTGTGTTGGAAAGTAGACTTCCAGAGCTTTGTAACCATATATAGCAATAAATCTAACTCTTTAGGAATCAAAACAGGTGATTTTTCAAAGTTGACTGATCAGCAAACACCAATTCTGCATCACATCATCTGGAGGTGGAGGATCGGGGAGAATAATACTACTTCCCTCAACATGTCGAAGTTGGGGCATCTGCCATATCTCACTTGGTAGGCTCAACTCTTGATAAACAACTAATGTATGTAGACTCCAAAGACGTGATATAGAAGACGGCATCAACATCAATGGACCCATGCAAGCAACATATCTTGAGTTAATTAGTTGTAGAATCTCATCTTTGGGATATTCATCTACCACATCCAATACCCGTAGTAATGGAAACCGACGAGCAGTGTAATCGGTTGAATCCCCTTTAGAGAATCTTAAGAAAGACCGTGTAGGTACATGTGGTCTATAGGGAGTACTCTTCATCCCTTTTCATTTTCCACCATTAATGCTTAAGCGTGCAGGGCTGATCTTCGTGTCTGATAAAATATCGAGGTGGTTATACAAATTTTCGGTGAGAATAAAATTGTCTTTATGAGCTTCTCTCCTACATAGCTCACTTAAAACATCATGAATGTGGCAGTCTGTCACTTGTCCAGTAATTGATCGCCAACTGACCAAAATGAGATTTCTATCAATAAGATCCTCCAAGTACTCTTCTCCAATTTTTTCTAAGCTTTTATGCCCACGTTTTCTAATAAATCCTTCAGCAATCCACAACCTGACCAGCCTAGACAATTTGATATCAAAATCTTCTGGAAACACGGCAAAGTAAAGGAAACAAGGCTTGAGATATATAGGCAAGTGATTATAACTCAACAACAATATTTTCATGCAAAAGTCGTCATGTTCATTGTTTACTGCCGAAGTCACATCTTCTTCGACGTACTTCCAATTTTCTGTTTTTGACTTTGCAAGAACCCCAGCAATCACAACAAGGGCTAATGGAAGTCCTCTGCATTTTGTAGCAATACTTTTTCCAGTTCCCTCCAATTCAACGGGGGAACGCCCGTCTGCAAATATCTTTCGACGGAGCAGATCCCAACTTTGTTTTTCATCTAACAAATTTAGTTGATAAGGGATACAAGACCCAATATCCACAGCCAATCTCAATAGCCTAGTAGTTACCAAGATTCGACTTCCATTATTGTTATCTGGAAGGAATCTTTTAAACATATCCCAAGCCTTGATATCCCACACATCATCCATTACTATTAAATACTTCCTCCCAAGTAGAGTTTTGTACAGTTTATCTCCTAGTTTACCATCGCTAATCTCATGGGCATCATCTTGATTAGTATTATCAATCTGATGCAAAAGGCCTAGAAGAATCTCCTTTTCGGTATATTCTTGGGAGACCGTAAACCAAGCACGAACATGAAAGTGTTGCACGATAAAAGGTTTGTTATAAACATGAGTGGTAAGAGTAGTCTTACCTATGCCTCCCATTCCAACAATAGAGATGATTTGAAGATTAGATTCATTTGAAAAGAGAGCACCCATAATTTCGTTCACGTGGCCGTCGAATCCCACCATGATAGTTTCGCTAACGGGAAGAGGCCTTGATGACGAAGTAGCTTCCGTTGTTATGGAGATTTTAGCATGCACATATTTCTTCATTTTCACGAGCTCTTCCTCGATAGAATGGAACTCTTGTATTGCTGTTAGTACACATTCAGACAAGATATTATTGGACGTTGAGGTTTCTACTCTTTCGACTGCACATCGACCAAGAATGTGGTTCATCACACTGTCTTCAATGATATATTCTGCTCCTTCAGCTGCAACCCTCATTCTCGTCTCCAAATCTTCAATCTCTTTGTGATCTCCTGCAATACTCGAACGATTTTCGAGAAAATTATCAATCAAGAAATCGGCCTTTTGTCGCAAACAATTAATCTGATCTCGGTCGCAATTGAACTGATGATGAGGGGATGGATTGAGGATATGGTCAATAGTATGAGTGAGAGAAACTAAAGCCGCATAAGCTGTAGCCATCTTTTTTCGATAAAAAATCAGTTTTCAGAGAATCGAGTAGCAGATTATGGAAAGTAGATTATGCTAAAAAATGAATTGGTGATTTCTTAGACACTAACAAGAAATCAATGCAAAGTCAAAAATGATAATAAAATTGGAAACATTGTGAATTAAGTTGTCAAATTAGCGACTCGGTCAGCATATAATTGGCATTTGATAACAATAAGGTCTTCATCATACCTACCAATTTGCATCAGCCAAAAGAAAGTCAAAAATTAATAATTTATAGTTTGTTGTACCTCAACTTTGACAAAAATGTCATAAAAGTTATACTTAATTGATTTTTAATAAAACAAATTTCTAATAAAATATTTCTTAATTTCTTCTTCCACGTCATTAGTTACTATTTAAAACTTAGTTTATAAACTTCCACCGATTCTTCCTCCTATTTAGATCAAGGTTTAGGAGTGTTTATTCTGTAAAATCGTACAAAATTAACAACTTCAAGATTGGGCAGAGAACCAACAACGGACATATCTTCCTAAGGAATCTTGCATCTAATTAAGAACAATTCCTTAAGAGTGCGTTTGGATGAAAGGATTTGATTTGGGGAAGGGATTTGAAATAACTCCAATTTTGAAGTCATTTGAAATCCATCATTATTGCTCCAAAATCAACTAAAAGGGAGGGGTGACGATTTGAAATCCATCTCCAAATCCCTCAATCCAAACAACTCCGAGGGATTTGTTATTATGGATTTGAAATCCCTCCCCCAAATCTCTCCATCCAAATGGACCCTAAGTGAACTTGGGAAGATAATTTCTCCACCAAAAGTAGGACAAGTCTGTAATTCCCAACTTTTTCATATTTGGGATTCTTTTAATTACCGCTTCAGTGCATTTGAAATCTTTTACTGACAAAAGTGTTTGTAAATCCAAAAAGCCTCCAGACAATTTTTGCTTCTTACTATGGAATATATTGATGAGAATTAATTGCTAGATAAAAAAAGAATAATCCACTCACGTGTTTTAACGTTGTAGCAAATCGGTTAAATAAATAGTATCACCAGGTGCTTACAATCATGGTTATCGGATCGAAAAATATTGGTGCATTGTTTTCGTCTGTGTATCGTATCATAAGATATATATTGTTGAGTGTAGATTTTACGCTCAATACATTTACTCTCCGTGTATCTTTTGTTTAGATTTAATTGTATTTGTGCTTTAATTGATTGATTTTGTATTTTATATATGTCAAAAACGAGAATTAGGTGTCCATGAAGGAAAAAAGATAAAAAAGAAAGGAAACACTTGCAAATAAGGAAATGAATCAAATTGAAAGAAGGAATCTCGCCACAGCTTTGGCAGTGTCCACCATTTCAAGCATATCTCTCTCATACGAACTCCAAATCATCTAATTTTGGCAGCAATGGAAAGCTAATTTCAAGGGCTACAATTCTTATTTACGTTACATTCCAAAATTCGGACTCCAACATGGAGAAAATCGAAGAACAAGTCCTGATGGGGGAAAGTGGCGGAAATTGATTCCTATTAGGTTTCCACTACTTCCTTATCAAGAAAAGCCTATAAAAGCAACAAGTTTCTACACCATAAGGACGAAAATATACACCACAATATGCGAGGAACGAAAATCAACGAAGACTCAAGCATAGTTTTTCTTATTTAATTTATTTCTTTTATTTTCTTTATCATAAGAGTCACGAGTAACTAAGGCTATGTTTGGTAAGCTTTTGGGCTTCCATTTCCATTTTATTATGGAGAAAGATGTTTTGGGAGAAGAATTTGAAAATAAAATAAAGTTTGTTTGTGTTTTGAGAGGAGACAATTTGTACTGTAGCAAGTCAAATCATGTCTAAAAGGTGTTGGAAAAAAGTATTTTGGAAGAAGAATTTGAAGGATAAAGTGATTTTAGTTTGTAATTTAGTGAAGACAATTTTCACTGTAGCAGTCAAATCATGTCTGTTGGAGAGAGAAAAATTTGAATTCTTTTTGGGGAAAGTTTTTGAAAATATTTCAGAAAGATAATTTTATTTTGGGGAAAGAATGAAAAGAATTCGAGAAGCTTACCAAACATACCATAAGTTTTTTAGTTTCTAGGATTTTATGTGGAACCCTATATGGGATTTATGAACCCAATTCTATGATTTATGCAAGTTTTAATTCCGGATTATTTCTCCTACTTGTTTTATTAAGTGCATGAACTTGATCAACTTATGTGCTTTTATGTTATTGCTAATCGCATGAATCGGAAGATCGTGTTAGTAATTAGAAAAGAGCCTTTGTGGTATTAACATAGGAATATAGTTAATCTCTTAGGTAGCCATTAATGAGATTTGTGCTTAATGTTGTGTTCTAGAATTAATTGCATAGGAATATAGTAATTGAATCTAGAGTATTACAATCGTAATACACTCGGAAGTGGGTTATGATTATTTTAGCATCTCAGGTTAATAATCCGGGTTAATTACTTGCATACTTGAAGGAATTGAGGGAATAATAATCACATAGGGGGAAGAATAAAACCCTAGGCTTGTTTACTCTGATTAAACTTTCGTTTTTAATTGCTTTCGTGCTCTTGTCTTTTTAATTTGCTTTTTAATTTAGTTTATTTTAGTTAATTCTCTTAAAATTCGACTGTGTAGGGTGGGTTTGATAATAATTTGTAGGATTTAGCGTCTAGGATTAGATAATTAAATATTGCCTGTGGGTTCGATATCCGGACTTTTAGTCCACTATATTACTTGTACGATACGTGCACTTCCGTGTAGGTATTACCACCAACAAGTTTTTGGCGCCGTTGTCGGGGAATATTTTAATTATTTATTTTATTCTAGCTCTAAATTTGAACAATTTTCACGATTCACCCAAATTAATTTTTTTAATATATATTTTCTTTCTTTGGTTCACTCATGTTACAATTTTCGCACACCTCAAACGGGATATGAATGGCTTCCGTCTGGCGAATACCTCCAAAACAGATAACTTTGTTCAATCTGTGGTGGAGATCATTACACTAACCAATGTTGGTATGCACCGAAAGCGAATAATTTCATAGATAACACCAACGGCGGTAATTGGAACACATACACCAACACGCCACGAGAACCCACTGTTCAGGAGTGTTATTTGAACTCCGTCCTTGAAGAATTTATGAAATCCACTCAAGCATCTATCCGAAGACTGGAGATACAGTTGGAAGAATTCAAGCGTCAGATGTCTCTTGAAAATATTTTCGACGATATCGAGAATGCTTGCAACGAAGAAAATCCGTTTTAAATTTGTAGTGAGAAAAATCCTTTAGACTTAGAAAATAGTGTCGATGAGAGGGAAAAAGAAATTATGAAGACGCTTAAGGATGATGAATATGACAATGCAATCGAGCTAAACTCCAAAGATGTCTCGGAACAAGAGAAGAAGGAGATGGA